CGGCGAAGAGCTCGTAGGTCTTGGCATTGACAGCAAGGGCGAATTTCTGGAACATCTCGAAGATTCGCGGCGGGGGTTCCATCTCCGGGAACCTATAGAGACAATTATACACTTGTTTGAGACCCATTTTGGAGAGAATATATAATGGAACTCCAGCAGCCAGAAGAAAAATGGGCACAAAGAATGGCTTAATTGCTACTTCACGGAGTCAGTTAAAGTTAACAGTGGAACAAGAATCTCCGTTAATCCTCCGTTTCATAGCCACTTTTATAATATAGAAGATATAAGATGTATTTGATTGAAATTCAATACAAGAATTTAAAAACTTGGTTTATGTCCATGAATTTATATTTGCTCCTTCTCTTAGTCCGTTGCACGTTTCATGAATATAATAAAAAATTAAATAACTTTTTTCTAGAGTTAATACCGACGAAAAATTTGGTACCTCGAAGTCAGCTCTTCTCAACTTAAGATTGTAGAATCTTCTAACATCTCAACGATTCATCCACTCTAGTAATCCATGAGTTGAGTTCAGAACATCACTAAATAATGCCTTTAAAGTATAAAGAAGACATTTTTCTGATATGAGAAGACTGAAGAGGATTACGCCTCATGTGTATTAGTTTTCTTGCCCAACGAATATAATATAGCACATACATTGTCTTCTATATTTGAGTAAAAAAGAGGAAATGGTAATTAAGGGCCCAAGCGTTTTGTTCATCACATTGATGGTTTTAATAGATGAGAAAGGATCATTCGAACACACCAATGTTTTTGCAAACTACAAATTACACTTCCATCTTCTCAATATAAATAGTTACAAACAACATATTGTATTTTGTCAAAATAAATTACTTTTATAATTTTGCAAAAATACAACATGCATAATTGTAATTTATGAAAATTCTAGGGAAAAAAATTACATACTATATTAATAATATATATGGGTAATTATATTCACACCACAATTTTTATTTCTTCCATATTTTAATTGCATTTAAGGTTCTTAATTTTTGCTCATTATAGCATTTATGTCCTTAACTATTTTAAATGTCATTCTTATCCTCAAACTTTTCATTAGTTATTTATGTCCAAAAGTCCTTTGAAATGGTATAAAACAACATATTTTCCCATCATATTGAAAAAATAAATAAATAAAATGTACAAAAAATATTTTCTCATCATTTCAAAGCATGAAAATAAAATATTTTGATATAAATCATAATCAAGAACGAAACATACTAATTAATGGAAGGTTGAAGATAAAAATACAACAAAAAAATTCAAAAAATAATTGCTACAATGAGTAAAGATTGATGAATTTACCCGCAATTAAAATGTAGTTGTTGACATACAAAAAGTGTAGCCCAAGAGATGAAATCCAATTAGGAAGTCTAGGATGAAAGCCCAAATATGACTATTAATGAATGCAGTGGAGGCTCACGAACAAGGTACAATCATCGTTCAAACTTGCAAGACGTCCAAAATTTGAGCGAGTGGAATCCCTTAAAATCGCCCAGAACGAACGAGCCTATTCTCGCCCAAACCTCCGAATCGCCCATGATCTTAGCAAACCTGAGGTAATATGGTTATCCATAGCAGCAGTTATTGAAGCGGTTATTGAGCAACCTTATCACACCCCACGATCCAAGAATCACAGTTGTAGGCGGTTGAACGACGGGAGTAATGACAACAGTTAGAGAATGTAGTTTACAAGTCAATCATCATGAAGAAAGTGAGTAGTTATAAAACAATCAAGCAGTTTTCAAGCGGTTTGTTATGAAAGAATTATCAAGGAAGTACAAAAAGGAAGAGAAGACATAGAGAAAAAGACCCCGAATCAAACACTTTCAAACAGAGAATATGTAATTTTCATTTCTTAGTTTAATTTTAAACACT